TTTTTACCTTCGTTCATTTATTGAAAAATATTTATTTGGCTGCTATTATGTGTCAGGTACTGTTTGTTCTAGACATCTCATTTATTTCAGTGAACAAAACAGACAAAAGTCCCTGCCCAGGTGGATCTTACATTCTATTGAAGGATGCAGAAAATAAACATAAAATAAGTAAATTATATAATGTGTTAGAAGGTGATGGTGCCATCAGAAAAACATAGGAGGATAAAGGGGGATTGGTAAGTTCCAGAGTGGAGTTGGGAGCTGGTATTTTAAATATGGTCATCAGCTTAGGCCTCATTAAGTATGTGCTATACTTGAAGGAATTAAGAGAACCAAGTGGATATCTAGGGGAGGAGCATTCTGGATAGAAAGAACAGCCTTTACAAAGGCTTACATAGACAGGAATATGTCTGTCATGTTCTAAGAATAACCAGGCATTGTGTCTGGAGAAGGGCAAGAGCAAGGGGGGAGATGGTCGATAAGGTCAGAGAGATAATAAGTAGCCAGATTATTATAAGGACTGAGTGAAATGGAAGCCATGGGAGGTTTTGAGCAGAGAAGAGATATGTTCTAACCTGCATTTTCAAAGATGACCTGGCTGCTGACTTGGGATTAGAGTGTAGGGGGCAAGTGTGGAAACAGGGAAACTAGTCAGGAAGCTATTCCGAGTAATCTAAATGACAGACGATAGTGGCGCAGGTCAGGGTGATAACAATGGAAATGGTGAGAAATCGTTGGATTCTGAGTGCATTTTGAAGGAAGAGTTTACAGGATTTGCTAGGGATTGGATGTGGAGGTAAGAAAGGGGAGAGTGAGAGGGGGATAACTTCAAAGGTTTTTGCCTCAGCCCATAGAAGTATGGAGTTATATCAGCTGAGATGGGAAAGACAAAAAGGAGAGATGTTGATTAGGCAGTTGGATCCAGGAGTGACTTAAGGGGCAAGGTCTGTGCTAGTATATGAATTTGGGAATCATCAGCAATGATATTTAAAGCCATGAGACTGAATGTTTTCACTAAGAAATTAGCATAGACAGAAAGCAGCAGAGGACAGTGTCTTGGGACATTAAGAGTTCAGGAAGAAGAGGAGCAACCAGCAAATGATACTGAGAAAGATGAACCAGTGAGTTTAAGAGAACAACCCAAAAAGTGTGTTGTCCCAGAAGCTAAGCCAAGATCCTTTATCAAAGATGAAGGAGTAATCAGCTGTGTCAAATGCTTAAGTCTGGTGAGGACTGAGAACTGAGAATTAGCTTTAGCAATGCCATTGGTGACCTTCACCATGTGTTTCATTTGAGTGCTGGAGGCAAACGCCTGTGAGGAGTGAGTTTAAGAGAAAATGAGAGAAAAGGAATGAGAGACAGTAAGTACAGACAACTCTTAGGAGTTTTGCTACAAAGAGGAACAGAGAAAGTGTAGCTGGAAGGGAAGTGGGTTGAGACTTTTATTTTTTTAAAGATTGGAGAAGTAGCCACCTTTTTGCTGATGGGAATGATCCATAGAGATGGGAAATTTGATGGTGAGGGAGAGAAGGAATAATTGAATTGTTGGAACAATATCCTTGAGTGTACTAGAGGGGGTAGGACCTGATGCACAGGTAGAGGGATTGTATTTAGGCAACAGCATGGATGGTTCAACTATAGTGACAGGCAAGGAGGCAATACCTGTACCATATGGGTACAGGTATTGGTAGGTGGTTAGATGCAGTTTCGAGAGTCTAGATGTTTTCATTGCTTCGGTGTCCTCAGTAAAGTAGAAAACTTTGTATCACACTTAGGTACTTTTATATGTGATGTTAGCACTTTGACATACCACCAAGTTATTAATTCACTAACAAATGCTTATTGAATACATATTACATACTAGGCGTTGTTCCAGGTGGTAAATATATAATTGTGAACAAAAGTCCCTACCTTCATGGAATATCTATTTTAGTGGCTGGAAACAGAATAAGCATATATATGTCAGCTTCAGTCAATGGTGTCAATGAAAATAAAGCAGTGTAAGGGAGAAGGGGAGGTAGGCCTTTTTTATAGATTGGTCACAGAAGTCCATTCTGATGAACTGATATTTGAGCAGAGATATGGATCAAATGAGGGAGTGAATCATGCAGGTATCTGGGAAGAATATTCAAAGCAAAAAGAAGAGCCAGTGTAATGGCCCTAAAGCAAGAACATCTTGCCATATTGAAGAACAGCACGGGACCAGTATGGCTGGAGCAGAGTGAATAAGAGAGTAAGTGGAAAAAGATAAGTTCAGAGAGGCAGTGGGGGGCCCTAGATCATGTAGACCTTGCAAACCATTAGAAGGACTTTGTTTTTTACTCTGAGATAGGATGCTGCTATATGAGGTTTTGAATAAATGGGTGATGTGATTTGATTTACGTGTTAAAAGGCTCAGTGTGGCTGGGGTGGGGGTGGGTAGGCAAGGGTAGAAAGCTATCACAGTAATCTTAGTGACAGATGATGGTAACTTACTGCTGGCAGTGGAGATGGTAAAAGTTGTCAGATTCTGGTAATATTTAGAAGGAAGAGCTGAAAGGATTGGCTGACAGATTGGATACAGGGTGAGAGAAGTTAATGTTGACTATAAGGTTTTGGGGCTGTCTTACTGGAAGACTAGATTTACTGTTTAATGAGGTGGCAAACTGAGGGCAGAAAAGATTTGGAGAGGTAGTGCAAAGGGCTTCTGGACCCAATTCCAACGTATGTGCATGTGTGGAGGCTTCCCTGCACCAACAAGTTCTCAGACACCAGCAGGGTGTCCAAGAATTCAACTCAAGTCTGACACTGTCTATGTGGAGATAGAATCAAATTCCATGCGTAAAGGACTCAGTCCCATAAGACCACCCCCCACTTCAGACATCAGTCACAAGTCCCAGGTTGTGACCTGTACTTCTGGCCAACTGGCTATAAATCAGAGGTTCCCATGAGCCCCTTTCCTCAGGTTCAATTAAGTTGCTAGAGCAGCTCACAGAACTCAGAGCAACATGTTACTTACTAGATCACCAGTTTATTGTAAGAATATTAAAGGATATGAATACAAAAGATATTAAAGGATACAAATCAACAGCCAGATGAAGAGATAAATAGGGCGAGGTCCCGGAAAAAGAGCTTCTATCCTCCTGGAGCCTGGGGCCCAGCAAGGTGACATGTGGAAGCATTCTGGTTCCCCAACCTGCAAGCTCTCTGCAAAAAGATTGACCAGCCATCCTTTTGGGTTTTTATGGAGGCTTCATTACGTAGTCATGATTGATTCAGTCATTGGGCATTGAGAATTGATGCAACCTCAGGTCCCCCATTCCCGGAAATCAGGAGCTGGAACTGAAAGTTTCAGTCTTCTGATCACAGGGCTGGGTCTCCTGACAACCAGCCCCCACCCTTGGGTGTAGTCCAAAAGTCACCTTCATTAACATAAACAAGAAATTCCTAGGGTTTTGGGAGCTGTGAGCCAGGAATTGTGGACAAAGACCACATATATATGAAAAACATATTTTGGTCATCTGAATGACCAAATATATATTTCTTATAAGTCACAATATCGCAGGTAGTATCAGGAATTGGTTTTTGACGATTTAATTTGAACTACCTACTTGATATTTCCATCCACCGTCAAGTAGACAGTTTTATATATGGCAACAAGGGGAGAAGTCAAGACTGGAGACAGAAATGTGGGAGTCGTCCGCAGATACATAGTATTGAAAGCGGTAAGCCTGGGTGAGGTAACTATAGGAGTAAAGCATATAGAGAGGGGAAGACATAAGAAGCCTTAGGGCACTTAATTAGAAGTCAGGTTGCTGAGGAGGAATCAGCAAAAGAAAACAAACAGTAGTATCCAGTGAGGTGGGAGCAGAGACCTGAGTGTGGGGTCCCAAACGCCAAAGAAAAGGTTTCAGGAAGGCAGAAATGATCTAGTATATCAAATGCTCACAAGGTGTGTAATGTGAAGACTGATATCTGATAGTTATTTTTGCTGAGTTTTACCTGACGACTGTTCCTTGAATGTGTCTCCTGTCCACCTCTAAACTGACAGTGCTGTGAAGTCAGGGATCTCACACGTGACACGGAGGAGACGCTCAGCAAGGATTTGTTGAATCTGGACTGCTGCCACCCTCAACTCTGTCTAATCTCACACTCAAGTACGTTCTTCACATTGCTGCCCATTTGTCTCTCTTTTCCTGCTTGGAATGCGTCAGTGGCTCTCTGTTACCTGCACTGGAAAACCCTGGCATCTCTCCTGACGGGACAGACCCATCCAGACCGTCTTTTTCAGCCTCATCTCCTACCACTTCCTGTTCATACCTACACCCTAATAATACAGAACAATTTATAGTTCTCTCCACAAACTGTGCTGTTTCATCCTTCTGTGGCTTTCCTCATTCTATTCTTTTGGCCTAGGATGACTTTCCTCCTTTGCTTGGCTAAAGTCTAGCTTGAAGAATCAGGAAGTTTTTGTGAGCTAATTCATTCAAGTCCACAGACAGCCTCCCTAGTACACTGTGTATATCTCGATCACAGTTCTTATTCTCTTGAATTTAACTTTTTTGTATGTCTGTTACCCTGTCTAGAGTATAAATTTTTTATGGTCAGGAGAGTATATTTATTCATCTTCCTCCCCCTGGTACCTATACAGTGCTGTCTTCTTGGTAGGCACTCTATAAATATCGAATTTTAAGAGAACAAGAAAAAAGGGGAAGGCATGCAAGTGTAAGCTGAAGATTGTCTGGATCAGTGACTTGGCAGTAAGTGGAAAGGAATGGTACAGGGTAAATTCTAGACTAGATCAAAAGGCAAACCTTTGAAAGAAATGGTCAAGATACACATTTTAGTAAATATAATATCTATACTTTGTATAAACGTGTATAAATGTATGTCAAAATAACAATTATGTAGTAATTTGCAGTTACTAAGAGTTCTGATAGTATATATTAGAATAGATGAAGTAGACTATATTACATACATGGTTTATAATTTTTTTTAATACTTTTATATTAAATTTTCAGGACATCAATGCAAGCCTGAATAAGAAAAACAATTTCTTCCTCCTAAGCCATGGCATATCAGTTATACAGAAATACCACTTTGGGAAACAGTCTTCAGGAGAGTCTCGATGAGCTCATACAGGTGGGAGACTAAAAATCAACATTTTAATTTAGATGGGGCCATAATAATTCTTGTTATATCCCATCTCCCAGGCAAAGAGATATGAGGTTAATTATCTTAGACTGTTTGACCCAGCAAGTCAGTGTTCAGGTGAATAACTTCTGATTCCTGTGCATTATACTGTCCTGACTACAGGGCATAAAACAATGATTGAATGATATGGTTGAATATATCTAAATTTTCAAAGATTTTTGTTAACATAAAAATTGAGATTGTTCATTTTCTCCTGTTTATAAAAAGGCATATTCCATGTAGCTTTAAGATAATTTTGGACAATTTAATAAAGTCTTTTGAGATTTAAATTAGAATTTGAATTTATATTTCAGTTTTAAGAGAATAACCTTTTTATATAAACCTCTCATCTAAGAACATTATTTCTGTTTGTTTTCATGTATTTTATGAGCTTTGATAAAGTTTTTTTTTTTAATATATTATTGTCCTGTGTTTTTTATTTAAAAGAAACTTGGTTCCTTCAATTTATTGAATGCCTCTCTCCAGACACTGTGAAGAAATAATAGACAAAATTTTGTCCTGGCTTGTAACATCACTGCATGTTTTCTTTTCAAAATTATGTTTGTGTCAAGATAGTGCAAGAAAATATTGTCCGGCTTTGCTTCTTAATTGTCAGTTATGGCAAAGAAGAATAAGGAATTCTAGTTTAGAGGCTCTGGTTAACCTCAGTTAAATTTTAGATGATAATTCATATGTTTTGTTTATTTTCTCTTTAATGTTCTTCCCTAGGAGGATTTATGACCTTTACTTTTTCTCAGTCTCAACAGATCACCCCCCAACTTGCCCTTCAGGTTCTACTTCAGTTTGATAAGGCTATAAATTCAGCACTGGCTCAGAGGGTCAGGAACAGAGTCAATTTCAGGGTAAGGATATTTTCCTAAATCTAGAAGCCTGCACCAACGGTTGTTAGAACAGTGCTTTTTAGAACCCCTACATATTTATTAATCATAAAAGGAAGAGATGGCTTGATCAAATTTTGGAACTTGTTTTATAATAACTAAATTATACTTTACTTGTAAATAACCTATATACTAAATTCATCCACTTAATATGAGATACAAAGTTGTTTTTAGATTTTTATTCCGTTTCACAACTCAACCTATGTATGTTTGGCTACCTTCCCTGAAGAGTTACTGAGATTCCAAACGCCTAAAACATTATCTGCAGGATTGAAGGTAAGTGACAGAGTAATCCCTAAGGTTCACTTATGTTTTTCAAACTCTGACCTTCACCCGTTCTGGGAAATACAGAGTTATTTCTAGAAACTTCATGTTGCCTCCCACCTACTGTTAGGTAACATGGCTTATAAAGACCTGAACTGGTGGTAATAACAGTCTATTCTGGTAGCTTGTTCTCATTTGAGTCATCTATACTTTGAACAGTAATCCTAAACTGAACAAAATTATCTTTCTCAATTTGATGGTAAATTCAGATTAAAAGGCCCAATGAAAGTATCATGGTGAATGGAAATGATTCTACCAGATTATGATATTGATGTAGATATATAAGATAGTGTATGATATTTGGCTATTTTATTCATCTAATATTTATGCTTATGTTATAAGGCATAACCATAAAGTAGAAATTAAAAGGTTGAAATATATGAAAAGAACATACAAGTTAATTTACATTTAAGAGAACTTGAGTGTTTGGGGGTATTGGTTTTTGTTCATGATGAAAAACACAAAAGAAAAATTTATCATTTATTCAATGAACATTTCAGCACCTGTTACATACCAGACATTGTTCTGGATGTTGGGTATACAGAGGAGAACAAGACAGACAAGGCCCCGTTTGACTTATATTTTAGTGAAGCGATAAAATCTGCATGTATTGTATATTCATATAAATAAGTCTCTTAGTTTCACAAGCCTAAAAGTTATCTGGAGTAAAATGTATCTTTAAAACTATAAAATTTTATCACTGGATTCTTGAAATTCTTTTTTTTAATTTTATTTATTTACTTATTTTTTCCCCCAAAGCCACAGTAGATTGTTGTATGTCATAGTTGCACATCCTTCTAGTTGCTGTATGTGGGATGCGGCCTCAGCATGGCCAGAGAAGCAGTGCTTCACTGCACACCCGGGATCCGAACCCAGGCTGCCAGCAGCAGAGTGCACGCACTTAACCACTAAGCCACAGGGCCGGCCCGATTCTTGAATTTTTAACAGTAATGATTCTGACAAAATTAGTTTGCTTTTGTTTTTGTATAAATAAATGTAGAAATCTGCCCAGTTTGTTATTCAAAACATGATCCTTTCATTCTAAGTTGATCCATGCTAACACATAAACTTTTGCCCATGTAGAAAATTTGTTTGACTACTTATCAGACTCAGTAGGGTTCACAAGGCCTGAATAGTCTTCTAGTTGTATTATGGTAGGCTTCTAGTTTTTGGATCTGTTTAGGCAAAGTTAAAGTAATTTGACTTTTGCATTTCTCTTACATAGTGTTTTGTAAATTTGTCTATTTTCCAAAAGCTATAAGATCTGGTTTTTGACCAGATCTGACTTTTCATTCCTACTGCAGCTGCTCAGGCTTTCATTAACCCCCACCTCCACCCCCACCGTTACAGCAAATTTGATCAATTTTAAGTCCAGAACGTTTGCAAATAGCCTTCTGTTTAGCTTGGTGTGGCATATGGCAAAGACAAAAGAAATAATATATTGGTAATATCTAATTTTCACAGCCATATTGCCAGATCACATTTAAATCTGTATTGTTTACTGACCTAGCGATAAGAGCAAGGACCCACTGAAAGAACAGAGTAATCTTATGTAACAGGCTAAATTGTTTGTCTTAAATCCTCATGAATTTCATATAACTGAGATCATTTAATAGAATGTTATAGGAAAAAAACATTCTTAAGAGAGCTAAGGTTTTGATAATTTATATTTTGACATTTATTACTAAAACAGTCAAAGTATATTTACCAAGGACCTTGAACTGAATTAATTTTTAGGGAGAGGATTCAGATTGAACTAGTACATATAACTAGTCTTTTAAAGAGCCATTGTGTGCTTTTGAGAGAATTTATCTGGCAGGTGCGAGTAATGATAAACATTATAATACTAAACTTCAAACAGTAATTAAGCAAGCATTAAAAGATTTAATGGTCAAGAAAAATAGCCCTTCTGTTGACACTGACAATTTCCTTTTCCCTGTCTGTTCTTTGATGTTTCTACAATGAACGTGTATTATATAACTTTTTTTTTTGAATTTATTTTTATTGTGGTAACATTGGTAGATTAGCCCTGAGCTAACATCTGTGCCAATCTTCCTCTATGTTGTATATAGGTCACCACCACAGCATGGCTGACAAGTAGTTTAGGTCCACACCTGGGATCCAAACCCGTGCCGCCACAGTGGAGCGCAACAAACTTAACCACTATGCCATGGGGCCGGCCCCTATATAACTTTTTAACATGTTATTTTAACTTTAAAAAAGTGTTGCCCGTGGGGCTGGCCCAGTGGCATAGTGGTTAAGTTCGCAGGCTCCGCTTTGGTGGCCTGGGGTTTGCAGGTTCAGATCCCGGGCGCAGACCTCTGCACCACTCATCAGGCCATGATGTGGTGGCATCCCACATACAAAAAGTAGAGGAAGATTGGCATGGATGTTAGCTCAGGGAGTCTTCCTCAAGCAGAAAGAGGAAGATTGGCAACAGATGTTAGCTCAGGGCCAATCTTCCTCACCAAAAATAAAAAAAAAACGTGTTGCCCAGTTAAAAAAAATTAGAGGGTTGGAGCCGGCCCCGTGGCGTGACGCTTAAGTGCACGTGCTTCGCTACTGGCGGCCCAGGTTCGGATCCTGGGCGCGCACCGACACACTGCTTGTCGGGCCATGCTCAGGTGGCGTCTCACATAGAGTAACTAGAAGGATGTGCAACTATGACATACAACTATCTACTGGGGCTTTGGGGAGAAAAAGGGAAAAAAAAAAAAAGAGGAAGATTGGCAATAGATGTTAGCTCAGGGCCAGTCTTCCTCAGCAAAAAGAGGAGGATTGGCATGGATGTTAGCTCAGGGCTGATCTTCCTCACAAAAAAAAAAAAAAAATTAGGTTTGTTGAAGAGTTTGGCCAAATGACTGTTAAAATCAGTTACTTGACCAAAGCTAAATATTATCATTTAGAAGGAACTTTTCGAATATGAAGAATAAATCCAAAATTTTATTTGGAAAAAATATTTTTTGAGTCCCTATATTTGAGATACTAAATAGAGTCTAACTTTCCAGCGAAGAAGATATTTAAATAACTAAAAATTAAAGACAGTAACGATTAAGTTTATTAAACAATTCTAAAAAGATTATATTTAAACACAAGAAGAGATTAGGTAATAATACAAGTTTTTTTAACATTTGTTGGTTCAAAAGTTATCTAATATGGTCTCATGTTAATTGTCAATTTGTTTTAATCTAAATATTGGAAAGCATTTAATAATTTTTAGTATATAAAATTAACAGCTTTCAGTCAAGTTTTGTAGCATTTTACTTTCACAATAAAACAATACAATTTCAATATACATTTGAAAGTGACTGTTCACATACTAACCATACATAAATCCCAGTGACATGCCTTGTTCAAATGACTGACACAGCTACCACCAATTGGATATGACAGTAACCTACATGCTCATAGGCTCGTTGATGACACACAAGTTGAGGGATGCCAGAAATGAACATTGAGGTTGGCATTTGTCTGTTTAGCTTTCCAAAGGCTCAGACTGTAGCCAGGAGCAAATCTAATTTTTAAATTTATTTTTTTTACATGTACAATTCTTGGTCCTTTTTATCACTTACCAGTATGTCATCCACTGTTATACAGTGTATTTACTTGTTTTAATGACCTCCCCTGGTAACCTAAGCTCACTGATGACAGGGACGATATTTCCATTGCTTAGCATTGTATCCTCAGAGTCTAGCGTAGTCTAACAAATAGTAATTATTCGTATTTACTAAATTCACTAATACATTCATAGCCATCTTAGTTTCCCTAATCATTCTCACTAGATAGACTATTTAGATAGAATCCAATTTTTGCTATTATAAGTATTACAAGTACAAGTTTTGCTATTACAATTTTTGCTATTACACTCTTAGAAGTAACAGTGCAGGGAACATTTTTGTGCTGAATGCTTTTTTTCTGAATTGAAGGTTTTAGGCATACAAGTGTCTTACCGAATACTAAATTTCGTATGTGAATATGCATGTACGTGTATCTCAGGTTTTGATTGTATTCTGTTGGTGTCTATCCTTGTACTTTCACCACACTCTTTTAATGTTCAGTACATATTCCTGCTCCTAAAAAAAAAACACATTAATTAGAAGAATGTCAGTTGCATGGGACAATAATGTTGTAGACTTAGTAGCTAATACAGTAATTCATCTGAGCTAAGTACAGGATTAAAATGGAATGTTGCTAGGAAATCCCTGCTTTTGTACAAGTTCAGAGAATTAACATACACCCTAAAATGTTGCTTTAAAATAGTGTTTACGTAAAAATTCTAATGAACTTGCATAATTTAGCCACATGAGGGCAGTAGAAATTCAAATTTCCATTAAGCTTTCCTTCAGATTTCAGGTAAATAATTTGCAGACTCTTACGGTGCTGAAAATAGTCTGCTAAAATATTTTTTAATGCTTTCCTTAGCAAATTTATCTAGTTTCTTTTTAAGTGATTGATAGGATGAAAATTAAGAAAAATCTTAAGCAAGCTAAGTAGTAAATAATCATACTGTTTTAAGAATTATATACTTGGTAGCTGAGTTCTCTTGAAAAATATGAGGGGAAAAAATGAGTTTTCATGGTATGTCTGAATGTTTTGTCTTAAAGGGCTCTCTAAATACATACAGATTCTGCGATAATGTGTGGACTTTTGTATTGAATGATGTTGAATTCAGAGAGGTGACAGAACTCATTAAAGTGGATAAAGTGAAAATTGTAGCCTGTGATGGTAAAAGTAAGTATTTATCTAATTAATGTGAAAGCAAAGCTACTTGAAATCTTGAATTCTGTTGGTGTCTGTTTTTATGAGTCTTTAGAAAATCTTCATCTGAAATTAACGGGGAAGATGGCCAATGATCCACTCCCAGATAGAGACCTGGCTTCTACCTCAGCTAGACTCTGAATTCCAGATCTTAAATAGTCCTCTTACTGACTTTAGGTATAAACATTTCATATGACATGTAGACTTAACTTCCAACAGATTGAGTTTGTGTGGGGAAAAAAATAAGCAAATTAAAAAACTTTTCTTCCCTATTTCAGTTGCAAACTTGAAGTATTTATCAGGCTTTTCACAACCACCTTTTTCTTTAAGGAAGTTTATCGTATGGTTTCTCTGTTGCTGGATACCTGTACATTTTATATTTTGAAAGTGATTATTTAAAAGAACCTTATCACTCATAATGGTAAATATCCATTCCCCTGATTGTTACCTCTGTGCAGGTGTGTTTTCACAGCAGACCTAGGAACTTGTTCAGGTCCTTAAGTGTTTCAAAAACTATACATCTCAGTTTTCTGTTCCTTGATTACTTATTTCCTTTTTGCTAATTGTATGTTAAACATATACTTACTTTTACTCTATGATCTGAACCATTTGTGTTTAAAGCAGCTATTCCTGAAATGAATAGAGAATACTGTTACTCTCCCAGAAGGGGAGTTTTGAAAAGTAAGAGAAGAAAATGGAGAAAGTAATACCCTAACATTTCTCAGGTTATGGGTTGGATTTTTGTTTTTTTATATATATTTTGGGTTTCGAAAGAAAGAATCTAATCACTGGAAAACGTAGAGAAGACAGAAAAGCACACAGAAGAAAAACATCATTTGTAACACCATCTGTAGATAACATCACTTTTAATATTTTATTGTATAACCTTCTAGTCTTTACTTAGGTATATATTTTACAGTAATATATGTATGCATATATACACATTTCCAAATATATCATTTTTTACACATAAATCATTAACTGTTTTTTTAAACATGATTTTTAATAGCTGCATAAAATTATACCTTCAGCCCTTTTTAAAGAAATAGTCTCTTTCAGATGTCAGAAAGTCTCTGAAACTAGCAACGTTACAATGACTTCTACCTTTTGGAAGGTTAACTAGGAATAATCATTCTAAGAACTTTAAGCATAGATGACTTTTTAACATAGTCATTACATACTTTGTTCCTTGCTCTGACAACAGAAAAGATCCGTGTTATTTTATAGTTCCTGGATCACAAGATAACATTTCTATATGTCAGATAATGTATACTTTCATATTTTTCTTATAGTTTAGGCTAGTAGCATCCTCATAACCCTTAGGTTTTTAAGTTTTTACTAGACTGTAGAATTTAGGCATTAATTTATAACTCTTAGACCTCTATCAAAATGAGTTAATCATGTATACCAGTACTGTTCAGGAAAACTTTTATATTAATGGAAATGTTTTCTGTCTGCACTGGAAATATGTTAGGGCAACTGAGAAATTTAATGTTTTAAATTTATCAGTTAACTTTAATTAACTTAAATAGCCACATATGTCTAGCCAGTGGCTACCATACTGGACAGCACAGATGTAAACTAGGAGAGTGTCAGTTTCAATCATTTGAAACATAGCTAAGAACCAAAGAGTCCATGCAAACATATGTGTTATTACTTATAGGAGCTTCTGTCCCGTGGTCCTTAGAGTTTATTACTCTAGCTTAAAGATAGAAGATTATCTGTTTTTTCAAATTTCAGTGGATGAAAAGTGGCAAATCAGCCTCACCTATTGCATTGTCTTCTGAGGAGCTTGCTCCACTTACAGCACAGTGTAGTAATTGATCTTCAAAGAAAAATTGTTGAGTATTCAAGAAAAGCTTAGATTGTGTCCCATGTACTCTATGTCAGCAGAAAAGAATACAGTCTTAGAAAATTTTTTTCCAAAATTAAAATATAAATGGTTTGGAATTTAGAGGTAGAAGTTTAAGTAATTAAGAAAATACCATTCTTTAGTGAGCAGATAAATGCAGTGCTACTATCAAATAAGCCCATTTTTTTCTAGAAGTCAGCTTTCTGAAATAAAGTTGAGTTCCTCATATGGATGAAGAGAAAAAGTGATTTTGGCTAGAATTTCGGTCTGTTTCTCACCAGCAATTAAATACATTTCTTTTCTGATTGTACATTACAGTTGTTTATGGTTTAATATTTTGTGACAGTAGAAGACCTGAAAAAAATATATGCTTATATAGCAGTTATAGGAACCAAATGTAGTATAACTACGTTTTTCTCTAGCATAGATATGGAGCTAAGCATTACCTTTTTACCTCTGCCTTAAAAGGAAAGTTATTTAAGTTCTCAAGGTTTTTCCACCATCAGCTTCCCTCTTCAACCTTGCCTCGTCGTCTTCCCCACCTCTCAAACCAGCACTGTCATTAGTTCCTATTTTATTTTTTAAAAGATATTCTTAAAATATTTAAAATTAAGTTGCTCCGTGAATTTACTCTTTTTCTCGTCTATTTCCTAGATACTGGCTCCAATACTACAGAATGAATGGGAAAAAAAAAATGGCTTCTTTATGCCATCTTCTGTTATTCAGCGCTTTTTGAAGAGAAGCATAGAAGAGACTTTTTTTTATTTATTCTAGCATTGCAGAAATGACTACACTGTGCTATACTATCAATCAGAGAATTCAGTAGAAAAAAGCTTATAACTCTGTAGCCTCTCACATTACCTTTACTATACAGCATGAAGAAACAACTTTTTTTTAATGACAAATCAAACAAACATTGTTGCCTTCCTAAGAACATTCTTTAATAAACTCATTTTAAAACTCAGTGTGAGTAATAACTGGTAGAGCTATTAAGCTACAGTATGAAGATACTAGATAAGCATTTTGAAAGAGCACCATGTTCCTTGCAAAGGAAATTAGAAAACGCATTCATTTCAGTAAAGTCAAGTTAGTTTTATCAGTTGTAGCAGGGGCAAAACCAGATTCTGGATTGGAATTTTACTTAGAAAATCTGTTTTTTTAAAAGTTCAAAACCAAGGGTAATTATGGGTGTGAAAAACCTAAGTACAACTCAACCAGAAAAAGTTAAGTTAGATAATCTTGGGGCTGGCCCACGGCCTAGTGGTTAAGTTCAGTGCACTCCACTTTGGCAGCCCTAGTTCGGTTCCCGGGTGCAGACCCATTCCACTCTTCAGCAGCCATACTGTGTCGGCAGCCCACATACAAAATAGAGGAAGATTAGCACAGATGTTAGCTCAGGGTGAATCTTCCTCAAGCAAAAACTGGAGGATCAGCAATGGATGTTAGCTCAGGGTGACTCTTCCTCAGCAAGAAAAAAAAAATTTTAAAAAAAGCCAAAACAAACCAAAAACCATGTTTCCAACAACATGGTCTCCACATGTAAATGATTTCTTGAACTGGCCATATTGCAAAAGTTTCATACATTCTTAAATTATCTACGTCTTACCAGTTATTAGACCTTCAATACAAAGTCCTACTAAATGTATGCCATATATTTGTGTACTTGAAGGAAAAAAGTTTCCCTTGTTTGTCAGTCTCAGAATATATAATAAAGAATGTGGCATTCCTAAAATATCACAGAGGGAGAATGTCAGGCACCAGGTAATTGAGTAACTGGAATTTAGCAGCTGACTCGAGATGAATTAAGACCAACTATTTTTAATAAGAACCTGGCCCTGTTTACCATTTAGTAAGAGGAGGCTTTTGACAGCCCCATCCTGTAGTCAACTCCAATTCAATCCTAGTGCACTGTGCTGAAGCTACCACATAGGCATGAAAAATCTCCTTTTTCTCTCTCAGAGGTAATAGAGTTGGCAGTAATCTTCAGCAAAATAGCTGTTCATAAACTTATTAAAATGTTAAACAGGGGCCGTGGCTTAGGGGTTAACTGCGCGTGCTCCGCTGCTGGCAGCCGGGGTTCGGATCCCGGGCACGCACCAGCTCACCGCTTCTCCGGCCATGCTGAGGCCGCGTCCCACATACAGCAACTAGAAGGATGTACAGCTATGACATACAACTATCCACTGGGGCTTTGGGGGGGTGGGGGGAGATAGATAGATAAATAAATAAATGGCAAAGGAATTTAAAAAAAAATGTTAAAGAGTTCTTTATATTGTACAGTCCCTACATCTTCAGCTGTAGAAGCATGTTATGTAATAAGTGTCATCATTTGTAAGCAACCAGTGCTCAAGTCGGATCTATTTAGCAGCACAGAAATGAGACTTTCTGTTTGTAAAATAATAGCCAACATAACTGGCTTATGGGTGAGACCAAGTGCTACACGTTACATATATTCTCCTGGATAATCCTCACAACAAGCCTGGAAGATCTTTCTCCCCTTTTTACAGATTAAGAAATTGAAATTTAACCTCTCTAAATTACTAAAAGTTATATAATTAAGATTTTTCTTAATTGCAATTAGTCAAAATCAAGGCCTTTTTACTTTGGAGGTTCAACACAGTGGTTAAGAGACACATTGATAGTAAACTTAAAATGGCTGTAGAAATTTCTATTTCTTAAGGAGTAAGTTATGGTTTAAACTTTTTTCCTGTTAGCAGTCACTGAGATCTTACAGAAAGGAGTATAGGGCTGGAGTTGTAGACCTGTTTGGGAATTTAAAATCCTATAAATGATGTCGATAGATTGTGCTTGCAAAAGAGTCAAGCAGCATATTGACCCTAGGTGAGGAGTTTCTTGAAAGATATGGTTGACTGGCTTGACCTACTAATTGGAGTAATAATGACTTAAGCCATTCTCTGGGTGCTCCTGCAGTGTTACCTCAGCATGTCAGCATAGTCCTCGACACTCACGTTAACACTAACTTTCATCCTTGCAGCCCATTCTGTGTAATCTGTTCTAGTGTTCTCTTCCTAACCATCCCTACCAACCATCACATAGTCTGTTCCAGTTAGGATTGAGAAAGAAACAAAGTCAGATCTAAGATTTCTCTTTTGTCTTTGGTTCTGCTGTTCCCTCCATTTCTCATGCCTTTCCTTTCAGAATCAAAATTCTATGCATCCTTCAAAACCTCAACCCAGTTGTATCTCTGAGTGTAACCCATATTGTCTCTTCTCTCCTGACCTCTTACAAAGCAGTTGTTTAGGTACATGAAAAACATATCAAAGGACAGGAAGAACTGGGGTGGGCTCCAGTACTCACTCAGGTCCGCATCCAGGTAACCGATGTGGAATGCCTAGGGGTTATGCTGCATTCCATCAGTCGAAACGAGTTCTTGTACTTAGGTTAGCCGCCATACACACCTCTGCTTTTGCCGGGGTGGGAGTGCAGAAGTCATAGCCTGACGTCTCCTGTCGGCTCTAATTACCTGCATCCACATCACACGGCTGACACTGGCATCGCGGTGTAGGTGTTTTAATCTTCCCGTAGGGAGAACTCGGGCCTTACTGGAATTACAGAAAGGGGTCACAGCAAGAGCTCACACCACTTTGTGCTCTCCCACCTGGCCACAGGCTCCAGTGATAATAAGCATACTTGCCTATTAATGTGGAATAAGAAAAAAATCCATTAATTCTACTGTCAGGACTAAAAGCTGGGCTTTTGTGATAATGTAGAGTCATTACTAAATGCTGTTTTAACACCCAAATAGTAGACAAAGAATAGCCTCTTTGGGTTTAATGCCAGGCTGGTCTTGTTTGGCTTGTTTATGGTGATCTATCTTCAGCTAATTTGGGGGGAAAGTGAGTATTTGATCTCTTGGTAGACATCACATTTGGAAACCAAGTGTTTGGCAACACAGAAACAGAAGAACACAGAGGGGAGCCCAACGCCTAGGTTCCTCCCTAACACCTAGTTCATGTTATGCTAAGGTGATAGCTCACTTCCTGAGAGAGGTTTTTTTTTTTATCTGAATTCTTTTAGGCAGTTAAGGGGGAGGTAACAAAACTTTGAGTCTTTTTTTTCCTTAAAAATAATCAGCCTGAAATAATCCTCATGTTTAAGAGACACATTTTGTGGCGGCAAATTTTGTTCCCCTTCAGTACAGTCTATGATGTTCACACAATGATGAAATCGCCTGATGATGTATTTCTTTTTTTTTTTTTTTTTGTGAGGAAGATCAGCCCTGAGCTAACATCCATGCTAATCCTCCTCTTTTTGCTGAGGAAGACTGGCTCTGAGCTAACATCTATTACCAATCATCCTCCTTTTTTTCCCCCGAAAGCCCCAGTAGATAGTTGTATGTCATAGCTGCACATCCTTCTAGTTGCTGTATGTGGGACGCGGCCTCAGCATGGCCGGAGAAGCGGTGCATTGGTGCGCGCCCGGGATCCGAACCCGGGCTGCCAGTAGTGGAGCGCACGCACTTAACTGCTAAGCCACGGGGCCGGCCCTGATGATGTATTTCTCAGAATGTATCCCTGTCATTAAGTGACACATGACTGTGTCTGGTAAGGGGTTAACATCCAAAATATATGAAGAACTCATACAACTCAAAAAAATCTGATTAAAAAATTGGCAAAGGATCTGAAGAGACATTTTTCCAGAGAAGACACACAGATGGCCAACAGGTACATGAAAAGGTGCTCAACATCACTAATCATCAGGGAAATGCAAATCAAAACCACAATGAGATATCACCCTCACCTGTTAGAATAGCTATTATGAAAAAGACAAGAAATAACATGTTGGCGGGGATGTGGAGAAAAGGGAATGCTTGTGCACTGTTGGTGGGAATGTAATTTGGTACAGGTACTATTGAAAACAGTTTGGAGGTTCCTCAGAAAATGAAAAATAGAGCTACCATATGACCCAGCAATTCCACTTCTGGGTATATACCCAAAAGAATGGAAAGCAGAGACTCAAAGAAATACTTGTACACCCATGTTCATAGCAGCATTATTCACGATAGCCACAAGGTGGAAGCAACCCAACTCTATCAAAGGATGAATGCATAAACAAAATGTTACATATACATACAATGGAATATCATTCAACCTTAAAAAGAAAAAAAGTTCTGACATCCTACAACATGGATGAACCCTGAGGACATTATGGTAAGTGAAATAAGCACAAATATTGTATGGTTCCACTTATATGAGGTACTTAGAGCAGTCAACTTTATAGAGACTGAAAGTAGAAAGGTGGTTGCCAGGGGCTGGGAGGATGAGTTGTTGTTGTTTAATGGGTATAGGCATACCTTGTTTTATCGTGCTTCATTTTATTGCGCTTTGCCTTACTGTGCTTTGCAGATACTGTGTTTTTTACAAGACCCTCTACCAGCAAAAAGATTACCACTCACTGAAGGCTCAGGTGATGGTTAGCGTTTTTTAGCATTAAGTATTTTTTAACTAAGGTATGTACATTTTTTAGACATAATGCTATTGCACACTTACTAGACCACAGTATAGCGTAAACATAGCTTTTATATGCACTGGGAAACCAAAAAACTCGTGTGACTTGCTATATTGTGATACTCACTTTATTGCGGTGGTCTGGAACCGAACTCAGCATCTCCAAGGTATGCCTGTATGTAGTTTTGGCTTTGCAAGATGAAACAGTTCTGAAGGGCCGGCTCCGTGGCTCGGCGGTTAAGTGTGCGCGCTCTGATGCTGGCGGCCCGAGTTCGGATCCCAGGCACGCCTTTCCCAGGCACGCCCCAAGGCACCACTTCTCCGTCCAACCCGAGGCCGAGTCCCACGTACAGCAACTAGCAGGATGTGAACCTATGACATACAACTATCTACTGGGGCTTTGGGGGGAAAAAATGAATAAATAAAATCTTTAAAAAAAAAAAGAAACAGTTCTGAAGATTTGTTGCACAACCATGTGAACAACAATGAACTGTAC